TCATGTCATACGCTTCATTAAGTGACGTCCAGAATCATATCTATGATTCGGTAACAGACTACACATATGATGAACCAAACAGCTACTATGAGCCATCACCGGTCTCTAAAGCAAAATCGGATCACTCCGGGGCCACCGTAACAATTAACGGTGTAGCTATTCGATAATGTTCCAAATTAATGGTTTAAGATAGTTGTAATATTTTATATCATTGTAAATATATATTCTTATTTAATGTACAAAGTTAGTAATACTATTTAAGTGGCAAAGTATGTATAACACATTTTAAAGAATGGAGAATAAAAGAACTCAGGTAATTTGTGTACCTATGCAAAAGTTTAAGTTGATCGAATATAATATGAATAAATTTAAATTATATTGTTTATAAAAATATGTTATTATTATTTAATTTAAAAAAAAAGTGAGCTGTGAGTTATGTTAAATAAGTCATAATTAATGTAAGTGTTTGAAGTATTTTTTGTAGTCTTGTGATCAATTTTTGATTGGTTCAAATTTAAATTATAACTACTTGTTGTATTTGTGTATCATAATTATGGTTAATGGAATAAAATAAAACTTAAATATTTTGTCAAAAATATGTAACAATGAATGGTAGGCATCTATAATATAATATATATAAATTGCTTAATATACCTACCATATTGAATATTTTAATGTACTATAAACAAAGTGAAAGGAATTATATAGTCAAATTAAGTTACTTAAGGTTATTAATGAGTTAATGCAAAAAAGTAAATGTTTTTATTTATTCTAAATTATAGAACAGATTTTTCAGAATAGAAGAACTAGTATAAAACTATAAAATAGTCTAAAAAGKGAGGAGGAGGAGGAACATAGCATAGTTTATTTTATAATGTCATAAATTTTCAAACAACATATTATTTTGGGATCAAGAAGAGATACTATTAGCATAGCCAAAAGAAAAGTGCATGTTATGTATATAAAAACAGAGATAATAGAGTTTAAGAACTATAATAAAAGATTGTTGCTGAATATAACATACAAAATAATATTTCTGGTAGATTAAACTTAAACTTTCTACTAAACTGACTTTGCCTGGTAGGATTTAATTATAATTATGTATGATGTACTGATTAAAGGGAATTGGTAAAATGTCACAACTTTTCAGAAAATAAAACCCAAGAAGAGTGGACCACATTTAGTTAGATGATCATAAATTAAAAGCAAATCAATAAAAGTACGGATTAACTATATACATGCATAGATAATATGCATAATTAACATAACATAATGAAGCATAGATACAACTTATTATATGTTTATATTAAACTTATGCCGAATAAATAAAATAACATAAACAGTGTAATTAATTTTTTTTTAGTGAACAGTAGGTAAAAAAGTAACATTTGATACACCTTTTTAAAGTTAAAATATCTACTTATGAATGAAATAAACTTTCATTAATGTCCAATGTTGATCCAAAATGTTATTCTATAGGTAAGGTAAATGTTTATTATTTATTAATTGTATTGCTCTAATGCTTTATTTTTTAAACAAAACTATGGTATAAGGTTTAACCTATCCAAATTTTTAATATTGAACATTCATCATTTAAATTATTCTGAGAAAATAAAAATGGTCGATTGTGAGTCCATATTCAGAGCATTTAGTTGGTGAATATAGTGTTATATTAGGCTCAAGGACTTTCAATAGTTTATTTCCTTTATTACAGACCATTCTATATCATATAGAAAAATTAATAAACCTATTAAAACCATATATTATGCATTTGTTTAATGTATGTTTAGCTAACCCAGATCTTATTTTAAATAAATCAAAGCTTCAGAAATTTAAAACTTTTAAATCCTGGATAATATTAGTTAAGTAACAAGTTAAATTATAATTTTTTATTACATACGTAATAACTTTATCTTTTTAGTTTAAAACAAAATCCACTTCAATCAATAAGAATATTGATGTTTCTATTTAAACTTAGGACTAGTTACTTATCTATTTAAACTTAGGACTTAGGTTACTTATCTATTTAAATAATGGGAGTGGGAAATCATGAGATTTAACAACTAAGAAGAGTCTGTTGTAATGTAAACATACTAGTATATAGGTTAAATATACAAGTATAAGATACCTACTCATAATGTACAATATTTAATATTTGTTAAGAACACACAACATTACATTACATTCACTTTTAACTCTGCTTAAAGTGAAGTGAATTTGTAATGTATACTCTCGTGTATCATACTCCTCTTAAAATAATTAAGTCATACTAAGCAAATAAACTAATACACATTAATAGAAACAATAAATTATGAAACAAAAATATAAATTAAATATATCAATACAATATTTACATAAAATTTCCTAATACCTACCTCCTAGTAGGTACCTAGATCAGAATTTATTATAATATTGTATAGATATAAATAATAAATATTTTATACATAATATATTATTTGAGATGTGTGTTTCATACTTTGATTAATACCTATAATAAATTAATATAATCAGATTCATAATTTTCTCTTTTGGTAAGGAAGGGATTTTAGAAGGCAAAGCCCCAATTTGATGATTTGTAAAGCATCTTGTTCGTGTAAGTAAAATTATCTGGTCTTCTGGAGTATAAAATAGGTATGAGAGGATAGTATGATTCACTAGAATACCAGAATGATGAGTTTACATCAAGTGTCAAATGAAAATAACCACATTTTAATCTATTTTTAGAATTTAACACTTGTGTATAAGCAACAATCTAGCCAGTGCATCCCAAAATTATTTGAAATCTGATGGCTAATATTGTGCAGCTACATAAAAAAAGTTTAATGTTCACCGATTTTTTATATAAGTAGGTATATATCTAATTATTATTGAATAAGGAATTGTAGACTTTTCATAAATTTCTTAGTGTAGGGTATAAAGCTCCAGTGTTGTATAAGGAACCTTTAAAAAAAAAAGATATTTTGAATTTTGTTTAAGACAAGTCAGGTATTCTAAGGGAATATATGACATGTAGAAAGCAGAATATTGAGAAAAAATAACAAGGCCTACAAGTGTGTAAATGTGTAATAAACTAATAAATAACAAAACTAGTTTAAACTAAAAGATGTTTAAAATATTTAATCACCTTAAAGTTGACTATGATGTACAAAAATACCCAGAGAAATATTTATTACCTAATATATTAATATGAATAATTGTTCATCTTAATAACTATATATTGGAGTTTAGAATTTATTTAATTTTTTTTTTTTAAAGGAAATAACCATGTACATCATAGTTTTTTCTATGTAAATAGTAGTTCTAAATACATTTTTTTTTATAAGAAATACCTTAATGGGCTTAATGTTTAGTTTTTTTTTTAATGTAAGATGTTTGGGTAGCAGTGTCATGTGTTATCTATCAAATACTATTTATCGTTGTATGTCATCTATACAATGGAATGTTTTAGCCGTTTTAGGCTAACATTGGTATAAAATGGTACAGTGTCACTAATTTGATAGAAAGGTTGCTTAAAGAAGAATGGTGGCATTCCATAATACAAAGAATATATTCAAAAAATGTATTGACAACAATGAAAAATACTTTTAAACCCTGTTTTAAACTTAAATTGAGAACATTAAGAGACAATGTTCATTCCTCCATGAACTGCTATGGTTTAAAACAAATAAGATTTTTCTATTACATCTATTATAATATTATTATATTTAATTATAACAATACTATTTGCATTTACACATAGATAGCATACGACACCACTACCATTTATTATTGTAACTATAACTTAGTTTTTCTATTTGCCTTTACGGTTATTCATTAGCAACTAATCTATGAAATAGTAATAAAATATTTATTTTTTAAATTTTAAATCAAATACCTAGGTATAATTTCATAAAACTAAAAAAGTATAGGTACCTAAACATTTTCATTTAGAACCTGTTCTTAAATAATATATTGGATTGAATGAGCTAAAATTTTAGCCCAGTACACGAAACATCATGGTGCCTAGGTTAAGAATAAGAATATTCCAGGACAGCGGGAGTCCACACAGCAGTAGCAATTTTTGACGACGGGAGGGTCAAGGTCAATGTTACACTATAATAGCACCACGTTATTTGGACTCCACGACGCCAAAAAATCAATAGTGCCGGGCTCCAGAAACAACGGTCTCGGTTTCGCTGTGCGAGACCGTGAGGGGGAGGACGGGGGCTGCGGCACGAGTAGACCCGGCGGCGTTGGAGCCGAACGAGATATTAAGTGTCTAAACATGACCATATAAAGTATCATTTGAACTCGGTCGAACTTTCACGATGCTATTTCCATGTATGGTCAAATACGTGTTCAGCGTTTCGTACCGGCATAGATAGGCGGAGGACGAGATACATTATTTTATAAGCACGAGTTCGTTTCCCCGCCCACGCGACGTTTAATATTCACCAATAGATTTACACGGGTTGCGAATTTTCACTTACCGTTATCATGGCTAAAATCCACGAGCGGTCTTCGACGTACAAATCCAAACACGCGCCAAACTATTAGAGTTGTGATGGTCGCGACTGAAAGAATCGAAATGAACGAGTCTGTCGACTGTCGAGTGACCGGATCGCGACCGAATGATGTACTTAAAATATTCGGTCAAATCAAATAACGATCTTTTGATCTTTAAGTCTTTTGGAGGTTTTTAATGAAACTTCTCTTTCGGTCCTGATACGACTATTCGGACTATTGAATATTAAAGTAAATAACTAAATACCAGTCACCAGGGGCAGAGAATATCGGCAAAACACACGGAAAACTAGAAAAAAAAAAATTAATTCTCTAATCAGTGTGTCCACATTAGGAGTGAAATCGCCCGGTAGTGTAGTCGGCCACGGTCGGCCCAGATCGTTCTCCTCCGCGCACGATAACGACGTTGTCGCGTCCTGTTATCGCATCGTCACCGATGTGAGTGCATAAAAAAACAATAATATCATCATCTATAGCGAGAAATCAACCACCGCCCGCCCGCCTTTCATTACCGTGACTCAACATCTCAACACCGCCGCCGCGATCATTCGCTAGCACCACGGCCATCGCTCGACGGACTCATTCGCATTCCGTACGTCAAACGCTCGCTACTATACTACGACGTGGCCCCCGCCGACCGAACGCCCAACGAAAACCATTTTTTTCCTTCAACCCGTTTCTTTTTAGACTTCAAAATTGTGAGTATGCCGCGCGAAAACATCTTAAACCAATGTGTGATAACTACCCACGTCGCGATACTAATTACGTTTTTTAATTTTTTATTGTTGGCCTACATAAATGTTAAATAACCATCATTTGACGAATGTTTTATCGTTCATCGTTTCCAACGATTTCTCTTCAACGACTTTGTTCTACGCCAGTTCTAAGACGACATGTCTCATATGTGTCTAACAACAAAACAATTCGAGCACATTTCGTCCTTGAAATTTTCGCTTACAACATTCTTAATACTTTATGAATCATAATTTTAAAGAAAAAATTGTCAACCATACGTTCTCGACAATTAGTAACAATGTTGACATTTATGTTATTTTTTTATCATCGTTTAGTTACATTTCATTTTACTGATTGTTAATAGATATATAGTCAAAAAGGTTTTTTGTTTTTTTTTTGATAACATTGTTAATGTTTTTAATCAAAGATATTTCAAATGTATCAATAATTTAATAATAATAGAATAGATGTATTATAAATTAAAACAATATTACCTATCGTGCATAAATATTAATGCTTTTCTGAACATTTTACTATAATATTATTCCTGATATTGTTCTTTGTTTTTATTAAATATTTCATATCAAGCTATAAAAATTATATAAAAAAAAAATGTAATAACAAGAACAAAACATTTTTTCGAAGTTCACTTAGATCTCTTTAAAGTATTCAATGTTATTCTACCCTATTTTTAAATGATTTAACATTTTCTGTTTTCTTTGAGTAAATTGATCTTAAAAGACCTATATAGATATTAATTTTAATTTGATTTTATTAAAATTCTTTAGTTTTTAACTGGATACAAAGGAATTATGTACTCAATAAAATATAGCTCTAGGGCACCTAAATTCTTTTTTTGTACTCTAAAATATTCACGCAAAACTGCATATTGATATATTTCAATTAAAACAATACATTTATTATTATCACAATCAATATTGTTTATTGGCCTAGATTGGGAAACATAATTTATCATAAAAAAATTGTCATAGTAGAGTTTTCATAATATTAAATTGTTTAAATAGGTATGTTACAGTTTAATACACACACAATCTTTTAAATAGTATTTTAATAGTTAATGAATATTTAAAAACTTCTATCTTACTGGCATCAGATCATATATGGTTGGGAGTTGTACCTATCAATTTTAGTTTATCATCTAAATAGATGGTACTTATTTTATATTTATGGTAGATTATGTAATTTTTTGAACTTAAGAAACAATGATCAAATTTCTAAAAGCTATTTCTTTAGACTGTGAAGTGTGTGCGGTAGGATTAAATTGTATATTATCATGAATTATGATCATTAAAGAGGTCAAAATTGTTGCTATTTAGTCATGACCATAAATGGAATAAACAAAAGTTGTATTATAAAAATAAGTAGTATACATTTATTGCATAATATTTTTTAATAACCTTACATAATAACTAATAAGTACCTATAAGAATGTCAATGAATCATTCATATTTTTATCAGAAATACCTAGGTACCTATTTATGACTCATTTGTTTAGAAATCAATAATTTTGAGGAAAATTTTAAGAATAATGCAATGCAATGATCATAATAATATGTATTATAAATTAATAAATATATTAAATTAATTATTAATTTAGGATGCAAAATGTTTTAAATTGTAATATTGTGTAAAATTAAATTATTGTTTGCTTACACTAGGACTTAAATATTCATGATTTAGTATTAATATAAAGATTTATCATTATTTTAGAGCGAATCAAGCATGTCACGGAAAACGGCAGTGAGGAGGGCAACCACAAAAAAACGAGCGCAGCGCGCTACGTCAAATGTGTTTGCCATGTTTGGGCAAGCACAAATACAAGAGTTTAAAGAAGCATTTAATTTGATAGATCAAAATCGGGATGGATTTATCGATAAAGAAGATTTGCATGATATGCTAGCTTCTTTAGGTAAATTTATTAGTGATGATATTCTAATCATTAAACAGAATTCAAATTATAATATGAATGTCAAAACGTTTAGGCAAAGATCCAACTGATGATTATTTGGAAGGTATGATGAATGATGCGCCTGGTCCTATTAATTTCACTATGTTTTTGACATTATTTGGAGAAAGACTTCAAGGTACAGATCCTGAAGATGTAATAAAAAACGCCTTTGGTTGTTTTGACGAAAACAATGAAGGCGTAATCAATGAAGAACGTCTGAGAGAGCTTTTAGTTACTATGGGAGATAGGTTCACAGATGAAGACGTATGTATTATTTATAATTGCAGCTTGTAGCAAAGTTATTAATGTATTATGTATTTAAATATTTATGAAATATTATAAATATATTACTCCTGATTAAAATTTTTTACTGCATTTCCCATATTCAAAAACAAATACTTATAACTAAGGGACTAGTAATATAGATATCTAAAAAATTATTGCTTGACTGAGTAGTCTTATTCTTTTTTCTCTATTCTTGCTTTTATCTGCATTTATTTATAATGTTTATAGCTTATAGCTTTTTACATCACAGTTATTTAATATCGTAATTGGTGCGAGTGTTTTCTGACCCTGCTGTTCCACCGCAGTGCAGGCACGCATTCAGCAAAATACAAGCAGTTTTGTTTTACCATGTATTCAATATCGTCTAGAACACATATACTGCTTATTTTTGTTGATCATAAGAATCATTGAATAAAAATGGATTATTTAGAAACTTAGATGAATGTTTAAGACTGTAAACTGTAAAGTAATTTGAACGATTTTATTGAATAGTTTTAAACCAAAATTTCATATAATATATATCTTAATCTTGGTTTTTTGTTTATTCATGCTCGATTTATATTAACTTTTTCTATTATCTATTAGATTTTAATACTACACTCAACTGTTTTTTAATATTGGTCAAAAATCCTAAATTAATTTTCATTAGAAACAAGTTTTTCATCTCATTTTTGAATGGTATAATGTAGATATAATATGCTTAAAAATTATTATTTGTTTGTGCCAGGCTAAGACTATAGCTGTTAGTGAACAGGTTCAAAAAATCTTAAAGTGTGTTTATAGATTAATAGATCTTATTTTTTAGGTCGATGAAATGTATCGGGAAGCTCCTATTTCCAAAGGTATGTTCAACTATATAGAATTCACACGTATTTTGAAGCACGGTGCAAAAGAGAAGGATGAAGTTTAATGTTATTTTTATATAAAGTAAAATATTTTATTATAAAAATTTACTCAACATAACATTAACGTTAATATATTTATTTATATATCAAAATTGTATTATTAAATAATAATTCAAATTAAATAATGGGTGAAATAATTATTTATTAAGTTTATTTATATAACCTTTTTAAGTTTTATATTTTATTAATTCATAAACATAAAACATTCATAAATATTACTTTTATATTATACAATTTTTTTTTGTTACTCATTCTTACAATATTTTTAATATTATCTTTTTTATTATTATTTAGAACTATTTTTTTTTATATTTATTTTTTTACCTAACCTGTCCAATGATAAAGTATCCTTTTATTTAGATATAAATTAAAACTTCACTAACTACAACATATCTCTATCATATATTAATATTATTTATTTCATGCTTAATGTTAAGTAATAGTTCCTTTAGTTCAAGGTTTTACATGAAATATTATAAGTTCAACAATTCCATACAAAAATTAAAACAATAATCTTATAGATTTTTCTTTGATTTTAAACAATTCAACTATGACTAAGCTGTGAGTGTGTTGTGTTACACAACTTGTGTATAACATACTAACTGAAATATTTAAACTTCAAATTTATAAACTACAATACATTATAATAATACACATGTTTGTCTTAACTTCTTAAGTAAGTCTTTATTCTTACACATAATGATATTATTTATGTTGATTAAATGGAACTACATGCATTTAGAATTAATTTCCCTGATGTTGCATTAAGTTAAAGAAAATTGCATTTTTTCTTGGTACCATAAAGTAAGTCTTTTAATTTCATATATCATATATCTATCTATTGTAAAAATATTATAATGAATAAACTAAGGATTGTCATTAAAATAGAAATCAATTTGAACATACAAAAAAAAATTATTATTTTATTCAATTGGAATATGATATGAATGCATTTGTCCATTTACTCACACACAGGTACCCAATCTCAAAATTTAAATTACAATAATTATTAGCATTAAAATATTTAAGTGCTCTCACAATTTATGAAATATTACAAGATATTATGCAAAACCAACTAAAATATTTTCTTACTCCTGAAATATTGGTGTATTATCAAACACATTTGCCCCTAAGATATTTTATTGAATAAATTGTCCATATTTTTTGATCTTATAAATATACATGCGCTTAGTATTGCCATGATAATATGTAAAACTGGACAGTAGTTGCAAACAATATATTTTTCAAACAAAATAATTAATTTACTATATATACCTCAAATAAAAATATAAACAATTTTACTTATATTAACATTATTGTTATTTATAACCTGTAAATTTTTTTTATGAAATCTTAAAAATTAAAATATTTGTTAGATTTGGTTACATAACTACCCACTAAATAATGTTGATGTATAAGGTTTGCATGAATAACATTTTGAGGAAATTGTATTTTAATATATTTTATAATAACAATTTATCTACTTCTTTGGATAATAATTTTTGATGCACCGATTGATCACTGAAATTTTTTGGTGTTCTATAACCATAAATAGTGAGTGTTATATTATATTGTATTTCTAGTATTTGACATTAATTGTTTTTAAGGATTTCAATATAGGCAATTTTCAAAACAGTTAAAACGAGCGTTCAAACCTTTAGCGGTAGATAGCGCAACGATTATCGTCCTGACGAGTGATTAAATTACATATCTTATGGACAGGTAAGCTTACAGTTATATCATATAATATATTTAGTGTCCTTAGAAAATTCTTTAAAAAAAGAATTGGTTTACATTCACGTTCATCTTGTTAAGTAGGAACTAAGTTCCTTTTCTCATTCATCAATAATTCTAAAATTGTTTTACCTAATATAATTTTCTAGATAATAATAGGCCTAAATTAGACACCGCCTTTGCTTGGGTTTTATTTGATTAATTTTAATTTGTTTTCTAAAAATGTCTATAAAAAGAATTCATCTGATCAAAGGATTAAAAATGTTATACAAGGTTTTTCATAAGTTTTTGTTATAGCTATTTAAAAATATTAACGATACATTGACATGAATATTTTTTATAAGCATTTAAATTTTAGAGATCAAATTTTGTAAATTAGTAAGATTTAGGATTGACAATTTGGCAAAAAGTCTTACAAGTATATCATACTTTTACCAAAAAATTACTGATCATTTTAGGAAAATTGTATACAGATAAAATGTTTTTGAAAAATAGATTCAACCTGCAGGGCTGCATAAGTATATATTATTTGTCATTGTCTAATCCTTGCTTACCTGTTGATGACATTTGAAACGAACTACTAGCTTTACGAAACAAAAGCGACAATTTATCAAAATTATTCGATATAAGTATAAATATAAAATAAAAATCATGAAAATATTTTTTATTTTATTTGTTAATTAAAGCCTCAACAACTAAGATTATTTGCTTACGTTATTTACAATATAAATATAGCATTATAATAATATATGATATTTAGAAATATTACAACGTATATTTATAAATATT